GAAAACCCGCTGGCCAGGTCCTGTCTGGCTCCTTTGCCCTTTTCCCACCATCTCGCAGGGCACTGGGCAGAGCTGGCCTGCCAGGAAATTGAGCGGGACACGTGGCTGGCACAAGTCATGCCAACCCCTCCCCCCAGCATCCGGAGTCCTCCCACACAGGGCCTCCATGCTCTGTGTGTGCACTCATCCCTCAGCCCAGCCTGGCATCCTGGGGCTGTGAATGGCTCCCCAAAAAGGAAGCAAAGATCACAAGCCATCAACCCCAAAATGCAAGGAAAGCACTTACATCCTGTGTTCATTTGTACCCTCTATGGAGCCTTCAAATGTTTACCTCCCCTAGTGATGAAACCCATTGCATCCCAGGAGCTGAAATGCCACCCGAGGAGCTCAAAGTCTAGATTAGAAATGGTCAATGGCCTCAAAGAGGAGTCAAATAAATGGATAGAGTTGGAAAGCTAATTTGAAATAAGAAGAAATTCAGCAGCTGAGATGAGAAATACAGAAGGCAAGTTGAGATCCTGAAAACAACAACAGGAAACAAAAAAAAAAAAACCAAAAAAACAGAATTGATAGGATGCAGTGCCCACATAAATACACATGCTAAATGGAAACCATTTTAAAAAGAAAAGCAGCAAAAGAGAAAAATCTCTTGAAATGGAAAACATGTTTGGCAACCATTTGAAGGTAATAAAGTGGAAAACCCAGATTCTTGTGTCTCACACCTGTAATCCTAGCTCCTCAGGAGGCTGAGATCTGAGGATTATAATCCAAAGCCAGCTGGGGTACGAAAGTATGTGACAGCCTTATGTCCAACTAACCACCAAAAAGTTAGAAGTGGATCTGGGCTCAAGTGGTAGAACACCAGCCTTGAGTACAAAACCCAAGCACTGAGTTCAAAACCCAGGATTTGTATACAAACACATGCAAACACACACACTCACACATACATGCACACACACACACAAACACCCACCCAGACAAATACACAAACATATGAGGAAAAAATGGGAATATTGGAATTGAAAAACTCCATAAATAAAATAGAAAGCCTCAATGGAAAGTGTCGCCAGTGGACTAGATCAAGCAGAAGAAAGGATGACAGGGAGGAAGATGGTGTCATGGAAGTGTGAAAATCAGCCAGAAACAAAACAACAGCAATCACATGCCAGCTTTCCAGTGCTCTGAGACAGATCAAGAGACCAAATTAAGAATCCATGCATCAGAAGAAGGAGCTGAGATGCAAACGAAAACTACAAAAACCACAGAACATCTATGCAGTGAAATTATAGCAGAAAACTCTCTGAATCTAGGGAAGATATGGAAACCCAGGAGGTATCTAGAGCAGCAGATACTACACTTGACCAGAAAAGATCTTCCACTTCGCATCACAGTTAAAATGTAGAAAACAAAACGAAGGAATGATATCGGAGGTGGGGGAAGCGGGGGAGGAAGATGGGAAGGGCTGCATGGAGGCCTTGGTTACTCACAAAGGCAAATTCATCAGATCTAAATCAAGAGAAACCCTGGAATCCAGGGAAATGTGGGATGATAAATTCAAGTCCTCAAAATAATACCTCCCAACCAAGATTACTATATCCAACAAAATTATTCCTTAACATTGATGGAGAGATAAAACTAAACAAAACAATTCAGGACCAAAAGCTGGCATCAGAATATTTACTAAAGAAATCTCATACAGAAATGAGAAAGCAAGCTGGAGATTATGGGAATGCTGAGGGGGCATGGATGGAAGAGAAGGACAAATAGATAATGAGAGGGATGCGTGCCTAATGATAACAGATAAATAATACGAGAAACAGATGGCTCACGAGACAAAAGGATGTCTAATGAGACTGCTGGATAATGAGAGGGAGAGATGAATATCAAGAGGGAAAGATGGACAACAGGACCCATTAGATAATGAGAGGAAAGGACAGATAACGAGAGGAATGGATGAACAAACAAGAACTGGGAAAGAGTAGATCATGTTCCACTCACATACACAGTCAACTGCAGGATAAATTATACAGGACTCTAAACATTCACACAGTGAGAACAAAGACAGATATTCTCAGGAGAGGATCAAAAAGGTCCAAAAGCTATGTGCATCTGATCATATAAATTGCCACTTACTGAAATGAACTCCAAGAAATGGAAACAAGAGGGTTTGATTATTTTGCTATATTTTTAGCCTTTGTTGCTGTCTTTGATTTCTGTAACTTATGTCTTGTACATAAGGTTATCAGTTTGGGGAATGGTAAGGGAGGTACAGAAATGGAGGGACAAAGGGTGAACAAACGCTGCCGGGATCTTTCACTAGACACTTTGAAAACAAACTATACAACTTGTAGGGGAGGGGTTCAGGAGGGAAAAACCCAGAGAATGAGGGAAGATGAGACACTGTTAAAAACAAAGAAATGTACTCATTCTGACTTATGTAACTGTAACCCCCTATACATCAACCTTACAATAACTAAAAAATTTAAAATAAAAAATGAAAATCAGCAAACTCCCAAAGCAAACAAGGAAGATATAAAAATAAAACTATGCAGAATAAGCAGAAAAAGATACACGGAATGATGACCATCAGTTCCTGACAGACCACAATGACCCAAAGATAAATGGCTTAATTCTCCTATTAAAAGACACACATATCATATGGCTGATATGATTTAAAAAAGAAGAAGAAGAAGTTTCAGTAGGAAGAAACTCAGGTCACTGGGAAAGAAACTCAGGTCACTGGCAAAGACACTCACAGGCTGAATTAAAGGATGGAAGATCACATGCCCAGTGAAGAGAAGCTAGATTGTAACTAGAGTATCTGTGCTTATATCTCCCAGTGAAGACTGCAAGAAAAATCCACTCCAAGAAAAAAGCCAGTTCACAAGCATAAAAGGAGTGATCCACCCAGACAAATAGCAATCAAAAAGAGACAGCATTTAATGCTGCACAAGATAAAACCACTGCAGGGCATAAAATAACAGAAGGTCTAGATGCAGTGATACTTCATGGGGAGCAAGAAATCTTTTCTTTGTGTGACTTTTCCCATTGTATTGGTGGAGGAAAAATCAATTAATCAATCTTTGATTTTTTTTTTCAAAAGTAGGAGATTTCAATACCCCACTCTACCCAGAGATGATCCAGACACCCCCCCAAAAATCGAACAAAGGTGTCATGTCTGCTCTGGAGCAAGCTGGCCCCGTGAGGAGACCTCCCCAACTCCTGGCTAAGTCTCCCCCCAGTGTCTGTTACCTAGGGAACCAGCACACCTGGAAGCAGTCACTGCCCCTCCTGCTAGATCACCTCCTGGGCTGCTGGTGGTCTTGGCTCCCATCTGACCATAGGAGGATCCTAGGCCCTGAGGTCAGATCCAGATCCAGTGGGGCCACACCTTTCCTCCACCTGGCCATACCTCTTCCCATCCCTGGCCCAGATAAGTCCTGGCCAGGGGTGAGTCACCCCTTTCTGCCATGCCTCTCCACCATGCACCTCGGGACAAGCAGGGCGGTAAATACACTTCTTTTCCTGTCTGAATACAGAGTGGTGTTCTCTTCAGCACCACCTAGTGAAACTACCTACTGAATACACCTTACAGAAGGCAAGTCAGCATTAGGCTGAAGGCCTCAGCAGCTGTCTGTGGTCTACTACACGAGGAGCCTCAGCACACTCCCTCTTCTAAGCGAACCATAGAATGACTCCAAATAGAATCACACTTCAGCCAATGTCTTCCAACAAGTAGAAAATAACTGACTATTTCCTTACAGCCACCCATATCATACTAGAAGAAGACAAAAAGACATCACAGAGAGAAAACACACTCACCCAATAGACCTTTCAGTGAAGGAGGAGGAGAGGGGAACAAAAGGCTTCCTAGAATCAAATGGAAGTAAAGATGACACTTTTCAGTGTTTGCAATTCCACAGCAATGAAACGAGGGGTAGAAGGAAGGTTTGTAGCGAAGGGAACCTACATGAAAGATCAGAGCTAAGCATGCCCATCCACGTCTGAAGACAAGGAAGACCAAGCCCAGCCCCAAGTCAGCAGAAGGACAGAGACAATGAAGATCAGAACCGAGCAAAGGCTGGACAAATGCAGCCGTGTTCCTCACTGGACACAACGTGGAAAATGGACTCTAGAACTTGTGGGCAGGGGCAGAGGGAAAATCTAGGACAGACTGAGGGCAGGGATGACACTGTCCAAAATGAAATGAACTCTTCCTGATCTATGCAACTATAACCACTTTGGCATCCCCTTTAAAGTAACAAGAATTATTTTACAAAACATCAGAGCTGATGAGTGAAAAATGGAATAATAGTGCAGAGCAATGGATGAAGCAGCACTCTTTGAAAGAATAAACCCGAGGGACAAATCTTGAAAAAACTAGAGCCCCAGGCCGGCCGCACGCCGGAGAATGACGCACGATGGCACAGCAAGAAAGTCGCCAAGGAAGCTCAGGGGAAGGAGCCCCAGAGCCCAGGCTACAGGGTCCCAGACCACGAGCATAGGGGAGAGTGACTGCTCCAGAACTTTCTCTCTCAGACAGGATCTAGCGTCAAGAGCAGGCCCAGAACTCTGACTACATGAAACCCCAAGACCAGGGAGCCCGTGGAGAGCCTGCTGTTTTTCAAGACCTCCTGGAACAGCGCACACATGGAGGGGTGAGTGCGGCGGGCAGCAGGGACAGAGCCCAGCCCCGCTCACCAAGTGTCCTGCTTCATTTGTCCTGCAAGGTTTGTCCCAGGAAGTGTGTCTCAGGAGGTGTGCCACATGACTCATCCATGCTTGTTACTTTGCAATGACACACAACTTCCCAGGGAAAGCCCACACAGGACCAGGAAGTGACCATGTGCCCCAGACCACGAAGTGACCTCGTGCCCAGTCCACACCTGACCCCACAGGGACATAAAGGCCAGGCCAGGAGGCCCCACACCACTCACCTCTCTCTCCACCTGCTCCTCTCACCTCCTCCACCCTCCACCACCACAACCATGAGCTGCTGTGTGCCAGCCTGCTCCTGCTCCTGCTCCAGCTGTGGCTCCTGCGGGGGCTGCAAAGGGGGATGTGGCTCCTGCGGGAGCTGCAAGGGGGGCTGTGGCTCCTGCGGGGGCTGCAAGGGAGGCTGTGGCTCCTGCGGGGGCTGCAAGGGAGGCTGTGGCTCCTGTGGGGGCTGCAAGGGGGGCTGTGGTTCTTGTGGGGGCTGCAAATCCAGCTGTTGCAAACCCTGCTGCTGTCAGTCCAGCTGTTGCAAACCCTGCTGCTGTGAGTCCTGCTGTTGCAAACCCTGCTGCTGCCCATCCTGCTGTTGCAAACCCTGCTGCTGTGAATCCTGCTGTTGTAAACCTTGTTGCTGTGAGTCCTGCTGTTGCAAGCCCTGCTGCTGCCAGTCCAGTTGTTGTAAACCCTGCTGCTGCCAGTCCAGCTGTTGCAAGCCCTGCTGCTGTGAGTCCTGCTGTTGCAAGCCCTGCTGCTGCCAGTCCAGCTGTTGCAAGCCCTGCTGTTGCCAGTCCAGCTGTTGCAAACCCTGCTGCTCCAGCTGCTGTGCCCCCGTGTGCTGCCAGTGCAAGGTCTGAGGCTCTGATCACAGACACAGGTAAGCTGCAACAGTTGGGTTTCTCAGCAAAGGTCTTGCTGCTTCTCACAGACCTGAAGCTCCACCCCCACTATGCTCCAGAACCCTGGCCTCCTGCAGAGCCAGCATTCAGGGCGCTAGCAGGGAGCCCTGCCCAGGGGCAGAGCCCAAGCTGGTCCTGCTGTCTTTGCTGACCCACCCCTTCTCAAGAGCCAACACCCTCAGCCCTCTTGGTCCTTTAAGCGCCCTGAACCCCTGGATCAGCCTTGCCAGAGCATCCCTGACTCCTCCAGCTCTTCAACACTGGTCCTGACACTGCTCTCTCCCTCCCTGCCTGCCTCCCTGCCTGCCTCCTTCCTTCCCTCCCTCTCTCCTTTCCTCTCTCCCTGCCTGCTGCCCTCCCTATCTTCTTCTCTCCCTTTCTCTCTTCCTCCCTCCCTCTCTCTCACTTCCCTTTCTCCATTTTCCCTCTCTTTCTTCCTTCTGCCTCCTCCCTGCCCCTTTTTCCTTCTTTCCCCTGTCCTTCTTCTCCCTCCTTCCCCCCACCCGCAGCTTTGTCTCTCTCATCCTCCCCCTACCATGTCCAACAGGATGCTGTGGCGTCCTTAAATAAAAAGCTTTTCAAAGCATGGTCTAATTCTTGTCGTGAGCTTTACTTATTTATTTATATTATATGAGCTTCAATCTGACTAATAAAGTACAGTTCTTTGATTCTTCATTCATCCAGGGGCGGTGGTCCCTGGCAGGCCGAGGTGGAGCCTCGGGGTCCAGGGCATGGGTGGCCAGGGAGGAAAGATGGGCATGCTGTCTGGGCCAAGCTGCCTGGGCCCCTGCCCAAGCCCAGGTCTTCCTGAGAGGAGGCTGAGCCTGTGTGAGCCTGGAGTGTGCCCGGATGACAAGTATGCACTACCACACACAGTTACTTCTGTCAAGATGGAGCCTTGTGAGCCAGATGCTGGTGACTGGTTCCTGTAATCCTAGCTGCTTCAGGAGCCTGAGATCTGAAGAGATCAATTCAACGTCTGCTGGGGCAGAAAAGTCTGCTTGACTCGATCGCCAATTAGCCAGCAAAATACAACACCTGAGGTGTGGCTCAAGCCATAGAGCCACAGCCATGAGCAAAACAGCTGAGTGAGCGTGTGAGGCCCTGAGCTCTAGCCTTGGTACCTGAACACAACAACAACAACAAGGCCAAACAACACAAGAAACCTATGGAGTCTTGAGGAGTGTTTTCTCCATTCTGCATGGAACATGCATAACTCTCCCAGTGCCAACCTCCCCCCAGCTCTTCTCCTTTGAAGATCAGAGATACCTGGAAAGAAAATTGCTTTCAATTACTGGGTGCCACTCCTGGCAGTCCTGCAGTTATCTAGCCTTTTACAGCCTCCTACGTATTGCAGGTCTTGAAAGACCACAGCAAGGCAGGTCTGCCTCCACTCACAAAACTTACTTAAAAATTATTTGGTCTTCCTCTTTCTCCTTCCTTCCTTCCTTCCTTCCTTCCTTCCTTCCTTCCTTCCTTCCTGCTCTTTCTCCTTTATTTCTCTCTCTCTTTCTCCCTTCCTTTCTTCTAACTTTTTTGCAATACGTGGGTTTGAACTCAGGGCCTTGCACTTGCTCTGCTAGTACTCTACCATTGGAACCATACAACCACCCTGCTATTTTGCTCATGATTTTGCAGATAGAATCTAGAAACTTTTCTGTCCAGGCAGATCTTGAACCATGACCCTCCAGATCTCAGCCTTGGGAGGAGCTAGGATAGCAGGTGTGACCCACCAGCACTCAGTTCATTTGGGCTATTTCCAAAGATTACAAACATAGCATGGGTAGTATCGAACAGCACCAAGAAATGTTCTTAAGCCCCAACAGAGCATCACTGCCCCGTCGACCTTCCCAGAGGCCGGGTACCTCCTTTCAGGACCCTTCAGACTTGGGGAATGGTGCTGCTTTTATTATTAGTCTGCTTTCTGTTGGTAAAATGAAATAATGGAGGAAAGAGGTACACTTGGCTCACAGTTCCAAGGCTGAGAGTGGGACAGCGAAGGCCCCTCACCCATCTCACAGCTCTGTGGAGAGGACAGGAGGCCCATGCCCTCACCCCACCACTCCCTGAGAGCTGACCAGACCCACATCCACCTCCATCTGACCTAACAGACCCGCCAGCCCCCTCAAGCGCCCACAACCCCTAATGGTTGACACACTGTGAGCCCCAACAGCACATGTGAGCATTCCCAAGTATGGAGCTCTCCAGGACCCCTCACTCCTGATGCCACAGGATAGGGCCTGGAGCTGGAGAGCCAGCTAATCCCCTGATTCTGTGTGTGGAGGGCCTGGGGAGCCCGGGACCTACTGAGCCTCTGATCTTGCATGGTGGGATCCCTGGGCTGGAGAACCTGCTGGCCAGGGTGCTGTCTGGTTCCTTTGCCCTTTTCCCACCATCCCTCAGGGCACTGGACAGAGCTGGCCTGCCAGGAAATTGAGCGGGACACGTGGCTGGCACAAGTCATGCCAACCCCTCCCCCCAGCATCCGGAGTCCCACATAGGGCCTCCATGCTCTGTGTGTGCACTCAGCCCTCAGCCCAGCCTGGCATCCTGGGGCTGTGAAAGGCTCCCCAAAAAGGAAGCAAAGATCACAAGGCAGAAATCCCAAAATGCAAGGAAAGCACATCCTGTGTTCATTTGTACCCTCTATGGAGCCTTCAAATGTTTACCTCCCCTAGTGATGAAACCCATTGCATCCCAGGAGCTGAAATGCCACCCAAGGAGCTCAAAGTCTAGATTAGAAATGATCAATGGCCTCAAAGAGGAGTCAAATAAATGGATAGAGTTGGAAAGCTAATTTGAAATAAGAAGAAATTCAGCAGCTGAGATGAGAATTACAGAAGGCAAGTTGAGATCCTGAAAACAACAATAGGAAACAACAAAAAAAAAAGAAACAAAAAACAGAATTGATAGGATGCAGTGCCCACATAAATACACATGCTAAATGGAAACCATTTTAAAAAGAAAAGCAGCAAAAGAGAAAAATCTCTTGAAATGGAAAACATGTTTGGCAACCATTTGAAGGTAATAAAGTGGAAAACCCAGATTCTTGTGTCTCACACCTGTAATCCTAGCTCCTCAGGAGGCTGAGATCTGAGGATTATAGTCCAAAGCCAGCTGGGGTAGGAAAGTATGTGACAACCTTATGTCCAACTAACCACCAAAAAGTTAGAAGTGGATATGGGCTCAAGTGGTAGAGCACCAGCCTTGAGTACAAAACCCAGGCACTGAGTTCAAAATCCAGGATTAGTATACAAACACATGCAAACACACACACTCACACACACATGCACACACACACACAAACACCCACACACACAAATACACACACATATGAGGGAAAAAATGGGAATATTGGAATTGAAAAACTCCATAAATAAAATAGAAAGCCTCAATGGAAAGTGTCGCCAGTGGACTAGATCAAGCAGAAGAAAGGATGACAGGGAGGAAGATGGTGTCATGGAAGTGTGAAAATCAGACAGAAACAAAACAACAGCAATCACATGCCAGCTTTCCAGTGCTCTGAGACAGATCAAGAGACCAAACTAAGAATCCGTGCATCAGAAGAAGGAGCTGAGATGCAAACGAAAACTACAAATGCCACAGAACGTCTATGCAGTGAAATTATAGCAGGAAATTCTGTGACCCTAGGGAAGACATGGAAACCCAGGAGGTATCTAGAAAAGCAGATACTACACTTGACCAGAAAAGATCTTCCACTCCACATCACAGTTAAAATGTAGAAAACAGAACCAAGGAATGATATCGGGGGACGGGGGGTGGACATGGAGGACTTGGTTACTCACAAAGGCAAATTCATCACATCTAAATCAAGAGAAACCCTAGAATCCAGGAAAATATGGGATCATAAATTCAAGTCCTGAAAATAATACCTGCCAACCAAGATTACTGTATCCAACAAAATTATCCCTTAACATTGATGGAGAGATAAAAGTAAACAAAAACAATTCAGGACCAAAAGCTGGCATCAGAATATTTACTAAAGAAATCCCATACAGAGATGAGAAAGCAAGCTGGAGATGATGGGAATGCTGAGGCGGCATGGATGGAAGAGAGGGACAAATAGATAATGAGAGGGACGGGTGACTAATGATAACAGGTAAATAATACGAGAGACAGATGGCTCATGAGACAACTGGATATCTAATGAGAAGGATAGGTGGATAATGAGAGAGAGAGGTGAATATCAAGATGGACAGATGGACAAAAAGAGGAACTGATAGATAACGAGAGGAATGGATGAACAAACAAGAACTGGGAAAGAGTAGATCATGTTCCACTCACATGCACAGTCAACTGCAGGATAAATTATACTGGACTCTAAACTTTCACACAGTGAGAAGAAAGACAGATATTCTCAGGAGAGGATCACAAAGGTGCAATAGCTATGTGCATCTGATCATATAAAATGCCATGTACTGAAATGAACTCCAAGACATGGAAACAAGAGGGTTTGGTTATTTTGCTATTTTTTTCTCCTTTGTTGCTGTTTTTGATTTCTGTACCTTCTGAATTGTATGTAAGTTTATCAGTTTGGGGGAGGAAAGGGAGGTACAGAAATGGAGAGACAAAGGGTGAACAAATGCCGCCCTGATATTCACTAGACACTTTGAAAACAAAGTACACAACTTGTGGAGGAGGGGTTCAGGAGGGAAAAATGGAGACAATGTGGGTAGATGAGACACAGTTATAACAAAGAAATGTACTCATTTTCTGACTTATGTAACTGTAAAATCCTATACATCACCGTTACAATAACAATAAAAGACTTAAAATGAAAAATGAAAATCAGCCAACTCCCAAAACAAATGAGGAGGATATAAAAAATAAAACTATTCAGAATACGCAGAAAAAGACACACTGAATGATGACCATCAGCTCAAGACAGTCCACAATAACCCCAAGGTAAATGGTCTTAACTCTCCAATTAAAAGGCGCACACTTGGTTGATACGATTTTAAAAAAAGAAGAAGAAGAAGAAGTTTCAGTGGAAAGAAACTCAGGTCACTGGGAAAGAAACTCGGGTCACTGGCAAAGACACTCACAGGCTGAGGGAAAGGATGGAAGATCACATGCCCAGTGAAGAGAAGCTAGATGGTAACTGAAGTACCTGTGCTCATTTCTCCCAATGTAGACTCCAAGCAAAATCCACCCCAAGATAAAAGCCAGTTTACAGGCATAAAAGGAGTCATCCACCCAGACAAACAGCAACCAAAAAGAGACAGCATTAAATGCTGCACAAGATAAAACCACTGCAGGGCATAAAATAACAGAAGGTCTAGATGCAATGATACTTCATAGGGAGCAAGAAATCTTTTCTTTGTGTGACTTTTCCCAGCGTCTTTGTGGCGGAAAAAACAATTAACCAATCCTTGATTTTTTTTCAAAAGTAGGAGATTTCAATACCCCACTCTACCCAGAGATGATCCCGACACCCCTCCAAAAATCTAACAAAGGTGTCATGTCTGCCCTGGGGCAAGCTGGCCCTGGGCAGAGACCTCCCCACCTCCTGGCTAAGTCTCCCCCCAATGTCTGTTACCTAGGGAACCAGCACACCTGGAAGCAGTCACTGCCCCTCCTGCTAGATCACATCCTGGGCTGCCGGTGGTCTTGGCTCCCATCTGACCATAGGAGGATCCTAGGCCCTGAGGTCACATCCAGATCCAGTGTGGCCAGACCTTTCCTCCACGTGGCCACACCTTTTCCCATCCCTGGCCCAGATAAGTCCTGGCCTGGGGTGAGTCTCCCCTTTCCGCCATGCCTCTCCTCCATGCACCGCGGGGGCAGCAGGGTGGTAAATGCACTTCTTTTCCTGTCTGAATACAGAGTGGGGTTCTCTTCATGCGTTACCTAGTGAAACTACCTACTGAATACACCTTACAGAAGGCAAGTCAGCGTTAGGCTGAAGGCCTCAGCAGATGTCTGCGCTCTAGTCCACGCGGAGCCCCAGCATGCTCCCTCTTCTAAGCCAACCATGGAATGACTCCAAATAGATCACACTTCAGCCCATGTCTTCCAACAAGTAGAAAATAACTGACTATTTCCTTACAGCCACAGTATCATAGTAGAAGAAGACAAAAAGACATCACAGAGAGAAAACACACTCACCCAATAGACCTTTCATTGAAGAAGGAGGAGAGGGGAACAAAAGGCTTCCTAGAATCAAATGGAAGTAAAGATGACACTTTTCAGTGTTTGCAATTCCACAGCAATGAAACGAGTGGTAGAAGGAAGGTTTGTAGCGATGGGAACCTACATGAAAGATCAGAGCTAAGCATGCCCATCCACGTCTGAAGACAAGGAAGACCAAGCCCAGCCCCAAGTCAGCAGAAGGACAGAGACAATGAAGATCAGAACCGAGCAAAGGCTGGACAAATGCAGCCGTGTTCCTCACTGGACACAACGTGGAAAATGGACTCTAGAACTTGTGGGCAGGGGCAGAGGGAAAATCTAGGACAGACTGAGGGCAGGGATGACACTGTCCAAAATGAAATGAACTCTTCCTGATCTATGCAACTATAACCACTTTGGCATCCCCTTTAAAGTAACAAGAATTATTTTACAAAACATCAGAGCTGATGAGTGAAAAATGGAATAATAGTGCAGAGCAATGGATGAAGCAGCACTCTTTGAAAGAATAAACCCGAGGGACAAATCTTGAAAAAACTAGAGCCCCAGGCCGGCCGCACGCCGGAGAATGACGCACGATGGCACAGCAAGAAAGTCGCCAAGGAAGCTCAGGGGAAGGAGCCCCAGAGCCCAGGCCACAGGGTCCCAGACCACGAGCATAGGGGAGAGTGACTGCTCCAGAACTTTCTCTCTCAGACAGGATCTAGCCTCAAGAGCAGGCCCAGAACTCTGACTACATGAAACCCCAAGACCAGGGAGCCCGTGGAGAGCCTGCTGTTTTTCAAGACCTCCTGGAACAGCGCACACATGGAGGGGTGAGTGCGGCGGGCAGCAGGGACAGAGCCCAGCCCCGCTCACCAAGTGTCCTGCTTCATTTGTCCTGCAAGGTTTGTCCCAGGAAGTGTGTCTCAGGAGGTGTGCCACATGACTCATCCATGCTTGTTACTTTGCAATGACACACAACTTCCCAGGGAAAGCCCACACAGGACCAGGAAGTGACCATGTGCCCCAGACCACGAAGTGACCTCGTGCCCAGTCCACACCTGACCCCACAGGGACATAAAGGCCAGGCCAGGAGGCCCCACACCACTCACCTCTCTCTCCACCTGCTCCTCTCACCTCCTCCACCCTCCACCACCACAACCATGAGCTGCTGTGTGCCAGCCTGCTCCTGCTCCTGCTCCAGCTGTGGCTCCTGCGGGGGCTGCAAAGGGGGATGTGGCTCCTGCGGGAGCTGCAAGGGGGGCTGTGGCTCCTGCGGGGGCTGCAAGGGAGGCTGTGGCTCCTGCGGGGGCTGCAAGGGAGGCTGTGGCTCCTGTGGGGGCTGCAAGGGGGGCTGTGGCTCCTGCGGGGGCTGCAAGGGGGGCTGTGGTTCTTGTGGGGGCTGCAAATCCAGCTGTTGCAAACCCTGCTGCTGTCAGTCCAGCTGTTGCAAACCCTGCTGCTGTGAGTCCTGCTGTTGCAAACCCTGCTGCTGTGAGTCCTGCTGTTGCAAACCCTGCTGCTGCCCATCCTGCTGTTGCAAACCCTGCTGCTGCCCATCCTGCTGTTGCAAACCCTGCTGCTGTGAGTCCTGCTGTTGCAAACCCTGCTGCTGTGAATCCTGCTGTTGTAAACCTTGTTGCTGTGAGTCCTGCTGTTGCAAGCCCTGCTGCTGCCAGTCCAGTTGTTGTAAACCCTGCTGCTGCCAGTCCAGCTGTTGCAAGCCCTGCTGCTGTGAGTCCTGCTGTTGCAAGCCCTGCTGCTGCCAGTCCAGCTGTTGCAAGCCCTGCTGTTGCCAGTCCAGCTGTTGCAAACCCTGCTGCTCCAGCTGCTGTGCCCCCGTGTGCTGCCAGTGCAAGGTCTGAGGCTCTGATCACAGACACAGGTAAGCTGCAACAGTTGGGTTTCTCAGCAAAGGTCTTGCTGCTTCTCACAGACCTGAAGCTCCACCCCCACTATGCTCCAGAACCCTGGCCTCCTGCAGAGCCAGCATTCAGGGCGCTAGCAGGGAGCCCTGCCCAGGGGCAGAGCCCAAGCTGGTCCTGCTGTCTTTGCTGACCCACCCCTTCTCAAGAGCCAACACCCTCAGCCCTCTTGGTCCTTTAAGCGCCCTGAACCCCTGGATCAGCCTTGCCAGAGCATCCCTGACTCCTCCAGCTGTTCAACACTGGTCCTGACACTGCTCTCTCCCTCCCTGCCTGCCTCCCTGCCTGCCTCCTTCCTTCCCTCCCTCTCTCCTTTCCTCTCTCCCTGCCTGCTGCCCTCCCTATCTTCTTCTCTCCCTTTCTCTCTTCCTCCCTCCCTCTCTCTCACTTCCCTTTCTCCATTTTCCCTCTCTTTCTTCCTTCTGCCTCCTCCCTGCCCCTTTTTCCTTCTTTCCCCTGTCCTTCTTCTCCCTCCTTCCCCCCACCCACAGCTTTGTCTCTCTCATCCTCCCCCTACCATGTCCAACAGGATGCTGTGGCGTCCTTAAATAAAAAGCTTTTCAAAGCATGGTCTAATTCTTGTCGTGAGTTTTACTTATTTATTTATATTATATGAGCTTCAATCTGACTAATAAAGTACAGTTCTTTGATTCTTCATTCATCCAGGGGCGGTGGTCCCTGGCAGGCTGAGGTGGAGCCTCGGGGTCCAGGGCATGGGTGGCCAGGGAGGAAAGATGAGCATGCTGCCTGGGCCAAGCTGCCTGGGCCCCTGCCCAAGCCCAGGTCTTCCTGAGAGGAGGCTGAGCCTGTGTGAGCCTGGAGTGTGCCCGGATGACAAGTATGCACTACCACACACAGTTACTTCTGTCAAGATGGAGCCTTGTGAGCCAGATGCTGGTGACTGGTTCCTGTAATCCTAGCTGCTTCAGGAGCCTGAGATCTGAAGAGATCAATTCAACGTCTGCTGGGGCAGAAAAGTCTGCTTGACTCGATCGCCAATTAGCCAGCAAAATACAACACCTGAGGTGTGGCTCAAGCCATAGAGCCACAGCCATGAGCAAAACAGCTGAGTGAGCGTGTGAGGCCCTGAGCTCTAGCCTTGGTACCTGAACACAACAACAACAACAAGGCCAAACAACACAAGAAACCTATGGAGTCTTGAGGAGTGTTTTCTCCATTCTGCATGGAACACGCATAACTCTCCCAGTGCCAACCTCCCCCCAGCTCTTCTCCTTTGAAGATCAGAGATACCTGGAAAGAAAATTGCTTTCAATTACTGGGTGCCTCTCCTGGCAGTCCTGCAGTTATCTAGCCTTTTACAGCCTACTACGTATTGCAGGTCTTGAAAGACCACAGCAAGGCAGGTCTGCCTCCACTCACAACACTTACTTAAAAATTATTTGGTCTTCCTCTTTCTCCTTCCTTCCTTCCTTCCTTCCTTCCTTCCTTCCTTCCTTCCTTCCTGCTCTTTCTCCTTTATTTCTCTCTCTCTTTCTCCCTTCCTTTCTTCTAACTTTTTTGCAATACGTGGGTTTGAACTCAGGGCCTTGCACTTGCTCTGCTGGTACTCTACCACTGGAACCATACAACCACCCTGCTATTTTGCTCATGATTTTGCAGATAGAATCTAGAAAACTTTTTTGTCCAGGCAGATCTTGAACCATGACCCTCCAGATCTCAGCCTTGGGAGGAGCTAGGATAGCAGGTGTGACCCAACAGCACTCAGCTCATTTGGGCTATTTCCAAAGATTGCAAACATAACATGGGTAGTATAGAATAGCACCAAGAAACGTTCTTTTTTTTTTTTTTTGTCGGTCCTGGGGCTTGAACTCTGGGCCTGGGCGCTGTCCCTCAGCTCTTCAGCTCAAGGCGAGCCCTCTACCACTTGAGCTACAGCGCCACTTCCGGTTTTCTAGTGGTTTATTGGAGATAGGAGTCTCACGGTCTTTCCTGCCCGGGCTGGCTTTGAACCGCGATCCTCAGATCTCAGCCTCCTGAGTAGCTAGGATTAAAGGCGGGAGCCACCAGCGCCCGGCTCCAAGAAATGTTCTTAAGCCCCAACAGAGCATCACTGCCCCATTGACCTTCCCAGAGGCCGGGTACCTCCTTTCAGGACCCTTCAGACTTGGGGAATGGTGCTGCTTTTATTATTAGTCTGTTTTCTGTTGGTAAAATGAAATAATGGAGGAAAGAGGTGGACTTGGCTCACAGTTCCAAGGCTGAGAGTGGGACAGCGAAGGCCCCTCACCCATCTCACAGCTCTGTGGAGAGGACAGGAGGCCCATGCCCTCACCCCACCACTCCCTGAGAGCTGACCAGACCCACATCCACCTCCATCTGACCTAACAGACCCGCCAGCCCCCTCAAGCGCCCACAACCCCTAATGGTTGACACACTGTGAGCCCCAACAGCACATGTGAGCATTCCCAAGTATGGAGCTCTCCAGGACCCCTCACTCCTGATGCCACAGGATAGGGCCTGGAGCTGGAGAGCCAGCTAATCCCCTGATTCTGTGTGTGGAGGGCCTGGGGAGCCCGGGACCTACTGAGCCTCTGATCTTGCATGGTGGGATCCCTGGGCTGGAGAACCTGCTGGCCAGGGTGCTGTCTGGTTCCTTTGCCCTTTTCCCACCATCCCTCAGGGCACTGGACAGAGCTGGCCTGCCAGGAAATTGAGCGGGACACGTGGCTGGCACAAGTCATGCCAACCCCTCCCCCCAGCATCCGGAGTCCTCCCACATAGGGCCTCCATGCTCTGTGTGTGCACTCAGCCCTCAGCCCAGCCTGGCATCCTGGGGCTGTGAAAGGCTCCCCAAAAAGGAAGCAAAGATCACAAGGCAGAAATCCCAAAATGCAAGGAAAGCACATCCTGTGTTCATTTGTACCCTCTATGGAGCCTTCAAATGTTTACCTCCCCTAGTGATGAAACCCATTGCATCCCAGGAGCTGAAATGCCACCCAAGGAGCTCAAAGTCTAGATTAGAAATGGTCAATGGCCTCAAAGAGGAGTCAAATAAATGGATAGAGTTGGAAAGCTAATTTGAAATAAGAAGAAATTCAGCAGCTGAGATGAGAAATACAGAAGCAAGTTGAGATTCTAAAAACAACAACAGAAATCCAAACAAAAAAAAAGAAACAAAAAACAGAATTGATAGGATGCAGTGCCCACATAAATACACATGCTAAATGGAAACCATTTTAAAAAGAAAAGCAGCAAAAGAGAAAAATCTCTTGAAATGGAAAACATGTTTGGCAACCATTTGAAGGTAATAAAGTGGAAAACCCAGATTCTTGTGTCTCACACCTGTAATCCTAGCTCCTCAGGAGGCTGAGATCTGAGGATTATACCCCAAAGCCAGCTGGGGTAGGAAAGTATGTGACAACCTTATGTCCAACTAACCACCAAAAAGTTAGAAATGGATCTGGGCTCAAGTGGTAGAGCACCAGCCTTGAGTACAAAACCCAGGCACTGGGTTCAAACCCCAGGATTAGTATACAAACACATGCAAACACACACACTCACACACACATGCACACACACACACAAACACCCACACACACAAATACACACACATATGAGGGAAAAAATGGGAATATTGGAATTGAAAAACTCCATAAATAAAATAGAAAGCCTCAATGGAAAGTGTCGCCAGTGGACTAGATCAAGCAGAAGAAAGGATGACAGGGAGGAAGATGGTGTCATGGAAGTGTGAAAATCAGACAGAAACAAAACAACAGCAATCACATGCCAGCTTTCCAGTGCTCTGAGACAGATCAAGAGACCAAACTAAGAATCCGTGCATCAGAAGAAGGAGCTGAGATGCAAACGAAAACTACAAATGCCACAGAACGTCTATGCAGTGAAATTATAGCAGGAAATTCTGTGACCCTAGGGAAGACATGGAAACCCAGGAGGTATCTAGAGCAGCAGATACTACACTTGACCAGAAAAGATCTTCCACTCCACATCACAGTTAAAATGTAGAAAACAGAACCAAGGAATGATATCGGGGGACGGGGGGTGGACATGGAGGACTTGGTTACTCACAAAGGCAAATTCATCACATCTAAATCAAGAGAAACCCTAGAATCCAGGAAAATATGGGATCATAAATTCAAGTCCTGAAAATAATACCTGCCAACCAAGATTACTGTATCCAACAAAATTATCCCTTAACATTGATGGAGAGATAAAAGTAAACAAAAACAATTCAGGACCAAAAGCTGGCATCAGAATATTTACTAAAGAAATCCCATACAGAGATGAGAAAGCAAGCTGGAGATGATGGGAATGCTGAGGCGGCATGGATGGAAGAGAGGGACAAATAGATAATGAGAGGGACGGGTGACTAATGATAACAGGTAAATAATACGAGAGACAGATGGCTCATGAGACAACTGGATATCTAATGAGAAGGATAGGTGGATAATGAGAGAGAGAGGTGAATATCAAGATGGACAGATGGACAAAAAGAGGAACTGATAGATAACGAGAGGAATGGATGAACAAACAAGAACTGGGAAAGAGTAGATCATGTTCCACTCACATGCACAGTCAGCTGCAGGATAAATTATACTGGACTCTAAACTTTCACACAGTGAGAAGAAAGACAGATATTCTCAGGAGAGGATCACAAAGGTGCAATAGCTATGTGCATCTGATCATATAAAATGCCATGTACTGAAATGAACTCCAAGACATGGAAACAAGAGGGTTTGGTTATTTTGCTATTTTTTTCTCCTTTGTTGCTGTTTTTGATTTCTGTACCTTCTGAATTGTATGTAAGTTTATCAGTTTGGGGGAGGAAAGGGAGGTACAGAAATGGAGAGACAAAGGGTGAACAAATGCCGCCCTGATATTCACTAGACACTTTGAAAACAAAGTACACAACTTGTGGAGGAGGGGTTCAGGAGGGAAAAATGGAGACAATGTGGGTAGATGAGACACAGTTATAACAAAGAAATGTACTCATTTTCTGACTTATGTAACTGTAAAATCCTATACATCACCGTTACAATAACAATAAAAGACTTAAAATGAAAAATGAAAATCAGCCAACTCCCAAAACAAATGAGGAGGATATAAAAAATAAAACTATTCAGAATACGCAGAAAAAGACACACTGAATGATGACCATCAGCTCAAGACAGTCCACAATAACCCCAAGGTAAATGGTCTTAACTCTCCAATTAAAAGGCGCACACTTGGTTGATACGATTTTAAAAAAAGAAGAAGAAGAAGAAGTTTCAGTGGAAAGAAACTCAGGTCACTGGGAAAGAAACTCGGGTCACTGGCAAAGACACTCACAGGCTGAGGGAAAGGATGGAAGATCACATGCCCAGTGAAGAGAAGCTAGATGGTAACTGAAGTACCTGTGCTCATTTCTCCCAATGTAGACTCCAAGCAAAATCCACCCCAAGATAAAAGCCAGTTTACAGGCATAAAAGGAGTCATCCACCCAGACAAACAGCAACCAAAAAGAGACAGCATTAAATGCTGCACAAGATAAAACCACTGCAGGGCATAAAATAACAGAAGGTCTAGATGCAATGATACTTCATGGGGAGCAAGAAATCTTTTCTTTGTGTGACTTTTCCCAGCGTCTTTGTGGCGGAAAAAACAATTAATCAATCCTTGATTTTTTTTCAAAAGTAGGAGATTTCAATACCCCACTCTACCCAGAGATGATCCCGACACCCCTCCAAAAATCTAACAAAGGTGTCATGTCTGCCCTGGGGCAAGCTGGCCCTGGGCAGAGACCTCCCCACCTCCTGGCTAAGTCTCCCCCCAGTGTCTGTTACCTAGGGAACCAGCACACCTGGAAGCAGTCACTGCCCCTCCTGCTAGATCACATCCTGGGCTGCCGGTGGTCTTGGCTCCCATCTGACCATAGGAGGATCCTAGGCCCTGAAGTCACATCCAGATCCAGTGTGGCCACACCTTTCCTCCACGTGGCCACACCTTTTCCCATCCCTGGCCCAGATAAGTCCTGGCCTGGGGTGAGTCTCCCCTTTCCGCCATGCCTCTCCTCCATGCACCGCGGGGGCAGCAGGGTGGTAAATACACTCCTTTTCCTGTCTGAATACAGAGTGGGGTTCTCTTCATGCGTTACCTAGTGAAACTACCTACTGAATACACCTTACAGAAGGCAAGTCAGCGTTAGGCTGAAGGCCTCAGCAGATGTCTGCAGTCTAGTCCACGCGGAGCCCCAGCATGCTCCCTCTTCTAAGCCAACCATGGAATGACTCCAAATAGATCACACTTCAGCCCATGTCTTCCAACAAGTAGAAAATAACTGACTATTTCCTTACAGCCACAGTATCATAGTAGAAGAAGACAAAAAGACATCACAGAGAGAAAACACACTCACCCAATAGACCTTTCATTGAAGAAGGAGGAGAGGGGAACAAAAGGCTTCCTAGAATCAAATGGAAGTAAAGATGACACTTTTCAGTGTTTGCAATTCCACAGCAATGAAACGAGTGGTAGAAGGAAGGTTTGTAGCGATGGGAACCTACATGAAAGATCAGAGCTAAGCATGCCCATCCACGTCTGAAGACAAGGAAGACCAAGCCCAGCCCCAAGTCAGCAGAAGGACAGAGACAATGAAGATCAGAACCGAGCAAAGGCTGGACAAATGCAGCCGTGTTCCTCACTGGACACAACGTGGAAAATGGACTCTAGAACTTGTGGGCAGGGGCAGAGGGAAAATCTAGGACAGACTGAGGGCAGGGATGACACTGTCCAAAATGAAATGAACTCTTCCTGATCTATGCAACTATAACCACTTTGGCATCCCCTTTAAAGTAACAAGAATTATTTTACAAAACATCAGAGCTGATGAGTGAAAAATGGAATAATAGTGCAGAGCAATGGATGAAGCAGCACTCTTTGAAAGAATAAACCCGAGGGACAAATCTTGAAAAAACTAGAGCCCCAGGCCGGCCGCACGCCGGAGAATGACGCACGATGGCACAGCAAGAAAGTCGCCAAGGAAGCTCAGGGGAAGGAGCCCCAGAGCCCAGGCCACAGGGTCCCAGACCACGAGCATAGGGGAGAGTGACTGCTCCAGAACTTTCTCTCTCAGACAGGATCTAGCGTCAAGAGCAGGCCCAGAACTCTGACTACATGAAACCCCAAGACCAGGGAGCCCGTGGAGAGCCTGCTGTTGTTCAAGACCTCCTGGAACAGCGCACACATGGAGGGGTGAGTGCGGCGGGCAGCAGGGACAGAGCCCAGCCCCGCTCACCAAGTGTCCTGCTTCATTTGTCCTGCAAGGTTTGTCCCAGGAAGTGTGTCTCAGGAGGTGTGCCACATGACTCATCCATGCTTGTTACTTTGCAATGACACACAACTTCCCAGGGAAAGCCCACACAGGACCAGGAAGTGACCATGTGCCCCAGACCACGAAGTGACCTCGTGCCCAGTCCACACCTGACCCCACAGGGACATAAAGGCCAGGCCAGGAGGCCCCACACCACTCACCTCTCTCTCCACCTGCTCCTCTCACCTCCTCCACCCTCCACCACCACAACCATGAGCTGCTGTGTGCCAGCCTGCTCCTGCTCCTGCTCCAGCTGTGGCTCCTGCGGGGGCTGCAAAGGGGGATGTGGCTCCTGCGGAAGCTGCAAGGGGGGCTGTGGCTCCTGCGGGGGCTGCAAGGGAGGCTGTGGCTCCTGCGGGGGCTGCAAGGGAGGCTGTGGCTCCTGTGGGGGCTGCAAGGGGGGCTGTGGCTCCTGCGGGGGCTGCAAGGGGGGCTGTGGTTCTTGTGGGGGCTGCAAATCCAGCTGTTGCAAACCCTGCTGCTGTCAGTCCAGCTGTTGCAAACCCTGCTGCTGTCAGTCCAGCTGTTGCAAACCCTGCTGCTGTGAGTCCTGCTGTTGCAAACCCTGCTGCTGCCCATCCTGCTGTTGCAAACCCTGCTGCTGTGAGTCCTGCTGTTGCAAACCCTGCTGCTGTGAATCCTGCTGTTGTAAACCTTGTTGCTGTGAGTCCTGCTGTTGCAAGCCCTGCTGCTGCCAGTCCAGTTGTTGTAAACCCTGCTGCTGCCAGTCCAGCTGTTGCAAGCCCTGCTGCTGTGAGTCCTGCTGTTGCAAGCCCTGCTGCTGCCAGTCCAGCTGTTGCAAGCCCTGCTGTTGCCAGTCCAGCTGTTGCAAACCCTGCTGCTCCAGCTGCTGTGCCCCCGTGTGCTGCCAGTGCAAGGTCTGAGGCTCTGATCACAGACACAGGTAAGCTGCAACAGTTGGGTTTCTCAGCAAAGGTCTTGCTGCTTCTCACAGACCTGAAGCTCCACCCCCACTATGCTCCAGAACCCTGGCCTCCTGCAGAGCCAGCATTCAGGGCGCTAGCAGGGAGCCCTGCCCAGGGGCAGAGCCCAAGCTGGTCCTGCTGTCTTTGCTGACCCACCCCTTCTCAAGAGCCAACACCCTCAGCCCTCTTGGTCCTTTAAGCGCCCTGAACCCCTGGATCAGCCTTGCCAGAGCATCCCTGACTCCTCCAGCTCTTCAACACTGGTCCTGACACTGCTCTCTCCCTCCCTGCCTGCCTCCCTGCCTGCCTCCTTCCTTCCCTCCCTCTCTCCTTTCCTCTCTCCCTGCCTGCTGCCCTCCCTATCTTCTTCTCTCCCTTTCTCTCTTCCTCCCTCCCTCTCTCTCACTTCCCTTTCTCCATTTTCCCTCTCTTTCTTCCTTCTGCCTCCTCCCTGCCCCTTTTTCCTTCTTTCCCCTGTCCTTCTTCTCCCTCCTTCCCCCCACCCACAGCTTTGTCTCTCTCATCCTCCCCCTACCATGTCCAACAGGATGCTGTGGCGTCCTTAAATAAAAAGCTTTTCAAAGCATGGTCTAATTCTTGTCGTGAGCTTTACTTATTTATTTATATTATATGAGCTTCAATCTGACTAATAAAGTACAGTTCTTTGATTCTTCATTCATCCAGGGGCGGTGGTCCCTGGCAGGCCGAGGTGGAGCCTCGGGGTCCAGGGCATGGGTGGCCAGGGAGGAAAGATGAGCATGCTGCCTGGGCCAAGCTGCCTGGGCCCCTGCCCAAGCCCAGGTCTTCCTGAGAGGAGGCTGAGCCTGTGTGAGCCTGGAGTGTGCCCGGATGACAAGTATGCACTACCACACACAGTTACTTCTGTCAAGATGGAGCCTTGTGAGCCAGATGCTGGTGACTGGTTCCTGTAATCCTAGCTGCTTCAGGAGCCTGAGATCTGAAGAGATCAATTCAACGTCTGCTGGGGCAGAAAAGTCTGCTTGACTCGATCGCCAATTAGCCAGCAAAATACAACACCTGAGGTGTGGCTCAAGCCATAGAGCCACAGCCATGAGCAAAACAGCTGAGTGAGCGTGTGAGGCCCTGAGCTCTAGCCTTGGTACCTGAACACAACAACAACAACAAGGCCAAACAACACAAGAAACCCATGGAGTCTTGAGGAGTGTTTTCTCCATTCTGCATGGAACATGCATAACTCTCCCAGTGCCAACCTCCCCCCAGCTCTTCTCCTTTGAAGATCAGAGATACCTGGAAAGAAAATTGCTTTCAATTACTGGGTGCCTCTCCTGGCAGTCCTGCAGTTATCTAGCCTTTTACAGCCTCCTACGTATTGCAGGTCTTGAAAGACCACAGCAAGGCAGGTCTGCCTCCACTCACAACACTTACTTAAAAATTATTTGGTCTTCCTCTTTCTCCTTCCTTCCTTCCTTCCTTCCTTCCTTCCTTCCTTCCTTCCTTCCTGCTCTTTCTCCTTTATTTCTCTCTCTCTTTCTCCCTTCCTTTCTTCTAACTTTTTTGCAATACGTGGGTTTGAACTCAGGGCCTTGCACTTGCTCTGCTGGTACTCTACCACTGGAACCATACAACCACCCTGCTATTTTGCTCATGATTTTGCAGATAGAATCTAGAAAACTTTTTTGTCCAGGCAGATCTTGAACCATGACCCTCCAGATCTCAGCCTTGGGAGGAGCTAGGATAGCAGGTGTGACCCACCAGCACTCAGCTCATTTGGGCTATTTCCAAAGATTGCAAACATAACATGGGTAGTATAGAATAGCACCAAGAAACGTTCTTTTTTTTTTTTTTTTGTCGGTCCTGGGGCTTGAACTCTGGGCCTGGGCGCTGTCCCTCAGCTCTTCAGCTCAAGGCGAGCCCTCTACCACTTGAGCTACAGCGCCACTTCCGGTTTTCTAGTGGTTTATTGGAGATAGGAGTCTCACGGTCTTTCCTGCCCGGGCTGGCTTTGAACCGCGATCCTCAGATCTCAGCCTCCTGAGTAGCTAGGATTACAGGCGGGAGCCACCAGCGCCCGGCTCCAAGAAATGTCCTTAAGCCCCAACAGAGCATCACTGCCCCGTCGACCTTCCCAGAGGCCGGGTACCTCCTTTCAGGACCCTTCAGACTTGGGGAATGGTGCTGCTTTTATTATTAGTCTGTTTTCTGTTGGTAAAATGAAATAATGGAGGAAAGAGGTGGACTTGGCTCACAGTTCCAAGGCTGAGAGTGGGACAGCGAAGGCCCCTCACCCATCTCACAGCTCTGTGGAGAGGACAGGAGGCCCATGCCCTCACCCCACCACTCCCTGAGAGCTGACCAGACCCACATCCACCTCCATCTGACCTAACAGACCCGCCAGCCCCCTCAAGCGCCCACAACCCCTAATGGTTGACACACTGTGAGCCCCAACAGCACATGTGAGCATTCCCAAGTATGGAGCTCTCCAGGACCCCTCACTCCTGATGCCACAGGATAGGGCCTGGAGCTGGAGAGCCAGCTAATCCCCTGATTCTGTGTGTGGAGGGCCTGGGGAGCCCGGGACCTACTGAGCCTCTGATCTTGCATGGTGGGATCCCTGGGCTGGAGAACCTGCTGGCCAGGGTGCTGTCTGGTTCCTTTGCCCTTTTCCCACCATCCCACAGGGCACTGGACAGAGCTGGCCTGCCAGGAAATTGAGCGGGACACGTGGCTGGCACAAGTCATGCCAACCCCTCCCCCCAGCATCCGGAGTCCTCCCACATAGGGCCTCCATGCTCTGTGTGTGCACTCAGCCCTCAGCCCAGCCTGGCATCCTGGGGCTGTGAAAGGCTCCCCAAAAAGGAAGCAAAGATCACAAGGCAGAAATCCCAAAATGCAAGGAAAGCACATCCTGTGTTCATTTGTACCCTCTATGGAGCCTTCAAATGTTTACCTCCCCTAGTGATGAAACCCATTGCATCCCAGGAGCTGAAATGCCACCCAAGGAGCTCAAAGTCTAGATTAGAAATGGTCAATGGCCTCAAAGAGGAGTCAAATAAATGGATAGAGTTGGAAAGCTAATTTGAAATAAGAAGAAATTCAGCAGCTGAGATGAGAAATACAGAAGCAAGTTGAGATTCTAAAAACAACAACAGAAATCCAAACAAAAAAAAAGAAACAAAAAACAGAATTGATAGGATGCAGTGCCCACATAAATACACATGCTAAATGGAAACCATTTTAAAAAGAAAAGCAGCAAAAGAGAAAAATCTCTTGAAATGGAAAACATGTTTGGCAACCATTTGAAGGTAATAAAGTGGAAAACCCAGATTCTTGTGTCTCACACCTGTAATCCTAGCTCCTCAGGAGGCTGAGATCTGAGGATTATACCCCAAAGCCAGCTGGGGTAGGAAAGTATGTGACAACCTTATGTCCAACTAACCACCAAAAAGTTAGAAATGGATCTGGGCTCAAGTGGTAGAGCACCAGCCTTGAGTACAAAACCCAGGCACTGGGTTCAAACCCCAGGATTAGTATACAAACACATGCAAACACACACACTCACACACACATGCACACACACACACAAACACCCACACACACAAATACACACACATATGAGGGAAAAAATGGGAATATTGGAATTGAAAAACTCCATAAATAAAATAGAAAGCCTCAATGGAAAGTGTCGCCAGTGGACTAGATCAAGCAGAAGAAAGGATGACAGGGAGGAAGATGGTGTCATGGAAGTGTGAAAATCAGACAGAAACAAAACAACAGCAATCACATGCCAGCTTTCCAGTGCTCTGAGACAGATCAAGAGACCAAACTAAGAATCCGTGCATCAGAAGAAGGAGCTGAGATGCAAACGAAAACTACAAATGCCACAGAATGTCTATGCAGTGAAATTATAGCAGGAAATTCTGTGACCCTAGGGAAGACATGGAAACCCAGGAGGTATCTAGAGCAGCAGATACTACACTTGACCAGAAAAGATCTTCCACTCCACATCACAGTTAAAATGTAGAAAACAGAACCAAGGAATGATATCGGGGGACGGGGGGTGGACATGGAGGACTTGGTTACTCACAAAGGCAAATTCATCACATCTAAATCAAGAGAAACCCAAGAATCCAGGAAAATATGGGATCATAAATTCAAGTCCTGAAAATAATACCTGCCAACCAAGATTACTGTATCCAACAAAATTATCCCTTAACATTGATGGAGAAATAAAAGTAAACAAAAACAATTCAGGACCAAAAGCTGGCATCAGAATATTTACTAAAGAAATCCCATACAGAGATGAGAAAGCAAGCTGGAGATGATGGGAATGCTGAGGCGGCATGGATGGAAGAGAGGGACAAATAGATAATGAGAGGGACGGGTGACTAATGATAACAGGTAAATAATACGAGAGACAGATGGCTCATGAGACAACTGGATATCTAATGAGAAGGATAGGTGGATAATGAGAGAGAGAGGTGAATATCAAGATGGACAGATGGACAAAAAGAGGAACTGATAGATAACGAGAGGAATGGATGAACAAACAAGAACTGGGAAAGAGTAGATCATGTTCCACTCACATGCACAGTCAACTGCAGGATAAATTATACTGGGCTCTAAACATTCACACAGTGAGAAGAAAGACAGATATTCTCAGGAGAGGATCACAAAGGTGCAATAGCTATGTGCATCTGATCATATAAAATGCCATGTACTGAAATGAACTCCAAGACATGGAAACAAGAGGGTTTGGTTATTTTGCTATTTTTTTCTCCTTTGTTGCTGTTTTTGATTTCTGTACCTTCTGAATTGTATGTAAGTTTATCAGTTTGGGGGAGGAAAGGGAGGTACAGAAATGGAGAGACAAAGGGTGAACAAATGCCGCCCTGATATTCACTAGACACTTTGAAAACAAAGTACACAACTTGTGGGGGAGGGGTTCAGGAGGGAAAAATGGAGACAATGTGGGTAGA